GTGGAAGGAAATGGAAGATATGCCACCATGGATAAACCATCAATCTGTACTGATTGAACAGTGGAAGGAAGTGGAAAATATACCACCATGGATAAACCATCAATCTGTACTGATTGAACAGTGGAAGATGTACCACCATGGATAAACCATCAATCTGTACTGACTGAACAGTGGAAGGAAGTGGAAGATGTACCACCATGGATAAACCATCAATCTGTACTGATTGAACAGAGGAAGGAAGTGGAAGATGTACCACCATGGATAAACCATCAGTCTGTACTGATTGAACAGTGGAAGGAAGTGGAAGATGTACCACCATGGATAAACCATCAATCTGTACTGATTTCACTAATGTTTTCACTAACAGTTCAGTCTTGTAATCATGTCAACATGAGGTAATGTTTTCACTAACAGTTCAGTCTTGTAGTCATGTCAACATGAGGTAATGTTTTCACTAACAGTTCAGTCTTGTAGTCATGTCAACATGAGGTAATGTTTTCACTAACAGTTCAGTCTTGTAGTCATGTCAACATGAGGTAATGTTTTCACTAACAGTTCAGTCTTGTAGTCATGTCAACATGAGGTAATGTTTTCACTAACAGTTCAGTCTTGTAGTCATGTCAACATGAGGTAATGTTTTCACTAACAGTTCAGTCTTGTAGTCATGTCAACATGAGGTAATGTTTTCACTAACAGTTCAGTCTTGTAGTCATGTCAACATGAGGTAATGTTTTCAGATGTGGAATATGAGCTTTATGTTTTTATACAGCACGTTGTGTGTACACAGTGAAACATGTACATCTGAAAACATGAATATGTTAAATAGATGAATGTCAAGAGTCAGACTTACAAAAGACCCATGAGAATCTCGCACAGTTCCACCAACAGAAGTCAAGTCTACACCACCTGATGTTTCAAACTTTTGCTTGAGAGACTGGAGACTGGGAGCATCACCTGGTTCAGCTCCTTTGATGTTACTTGGTGTTTCACTTCTTAATGATGAAAACGAGGCTGTAAATTTATATTATGCTTTAGTTATTGTCAAATTGAAGTATGAATCACAAAAATAAATAAAACTGACTTTCCAGTGAAACTACCAATAAAAAGATATCAAATGCATTTCACTTCAATGTAAAATTATTTCTTACAAAAAAATATATGATTGAAACAATTTCTAAACTCAACATTTCATTCTTTAGGGTTATAAACATTCCCGTACTAAAAAAGTCAGAAAAGAGATACTCATTGTACAGCATGATTACTTACAAAACATTCACGATAAACATGTATTTGTCTTACCCACAAAGCTTTCGTTCATGAACATATTACCCGCACTCAAAATTGTGTAGTCAGAAAAGAGATACTCATTGTACAGCATGATATAAACACATTACTTACAAAACATTCACAATAAACATGTATTTGTCTTACCAACAAAGCTTTCGTTCATGAACATATTACCCGCACTCAAAACTGTGTAGTCAGAAAAGAGATACTCATTGTACGGCATGATTACTTACAAAACATTCACAATAAACATGTATTTGTCTTACCCACAAAGCTTTCGTTCATGAACATATTACCCGCACTCAAAACTGTGTTTTTGAGCTCTGGGGAAGCATCACCTGTAAGAAAAGAGACTGTTGCAATATTTCCATTATTAATCTCTTTAGAACAGCTAAAGCTTGTATGATCGAAAGATGTTGATGAATCATATTCATATTGTTCTCTATTCTGGTTCTTACTGGGTCTTATTTTATCTGTCTTGGCTGGTAGAGATGGCAAATTTAAAAGACGTACATCTTTGACTATGTCAGACTGTGATGGTACTGGTTCACTACAAACAGAACGTGTATTCATACCCAATCCTCTATGTTGTTTTGTATTATTCATACACTCAGAAACATCTTTGAATTCTTGTATATTAGAATGGTTTTGTTCATCATTAAATTTATTTTCTGTACACTTTTTTAACCTCAAATCAAATTCTTTTGAACAACCAACATTATCTACACTGATCTCTGGTGTTAACTTCAGGTTTGCTGGGTTAGTGGTTGAAACTTTGTCTAATGATTGGCTACGTACAGATTCAGATATATTTGAACAACCAACTTTATCTACACTGATCCCTGGTGTTAACTTCAGGTTTGGTGGGTTAGTGGTTGAAACTTTGTCTAATGATTGGCTACGGACAGATTCAGATCTTTTTGTTAACTCCAGATTTGCTGGGACAGCCACAACTGCATCTTTCACTACTGTATTTTGATTTGACTCAAGTTTTTTGGAACAATCACATTTGCCTACCTTTTCCTTTCCTTTAACCTTAGTTGAGCCATCTTTTACCACAAAACTAGATGTAGATTTACAAACTCTTGAGTTTAAGATGCCACAACAAGTACTGATATTACTAAAACAACCATCATTCTCTTCAGGTCTGTTTGAACAGACTTCTCTTAGTTCTGGATGAGACCAGTTGTCCATTTTATGTGAAAGCTCATGCACCTCTGACCTTTCCTGACCTTTGGAAGTAGCCATTCTTTTCACTTCAGTTTTAGAGACCTTATCAATCTTGTCAGTTTTAGAGACCTTATCAATCTTGTCGGTCTTAGAGACCTTCTTTTTTGTCTTATTTTGTAACGATGTATCTTGTTCAACTTTTATGTAGGTCACTTCTAGCACTGGACCTGAAAAAAAAAAAAAAAGAGCTCTTCAATTTATTAATGAATGTTTCAATACTATATTCAAATATTAACACTGATTAAAAAAAGTCTATCCCAATCACCCAAATACTATTTGTCAATCTGGGGAA